GTTGTCAGATTGTGAGGACCCAGGGGACAAAAGGACCGTACATGGACGAGCAGAATTGATAAATTATTTATTATTTTTGAGTTGTGAATAAAATAAAGGAACAATTTTTTTTATTAGTTACAAAGAAAACGTCAAACTGTAATAAAGGAAAATTTGAAAACCAAAAATTGAAAAATTCTACACGTATTTATTCAATTTAACAAAAATGAAAGTTTAGTAAAAGATCATTAAAATTCTAAAACTAAAAAAAACTAAAGCTTCTTAAAAAATTGGTAACCCTTACAACTAAAATATTTCGGCATCTTATTCGTGCTACAAAAAATAAACACAACTATTTCGAGAAAGAAGAAATATGGAATCAGATTTAGTTCCACCATTGATTTTTAGTTTAAACAAATATGACCGAATAATAAAACGTAAACCGAAGTAGATAAAAAGAAACTAGTTTAAATAAAAAACCTGCAATAAAAATTTGATCCCAAAGGTAGAACAGCTGATCTCAGCAGGGGGCTTAACGTATTAAATTTCTATCTTTGCTGTTTCTTTGGATATAATTCAATGCTTGTTGCGGTATCAGCCAAACAAGAAGTTGTTTTTTGAATAAACGGTCGCTCGTATTATATTGTGACACATGGCTTATATTAATAAAATGTTTTTCAAATACTCGTGCATATATCTTAAACCGTCAAGTCGGTTTCAGACTCATGGCGCGAAAGCTTGTGAAGAACCGTGAATGCGAGTTGTAGATGATTTTCGCTTCTATTTATGTAGTAGAGCCACTAAACTATATATTAAACTGGAAGAACAAAGCCGATCAACAAAATCAAGCCACATAGCGAGGTGATATTTGACACTGTGGCGCCCACACATGCGTATCGAAATGCGCTAAAAACGAACATCAAAATTAAATTTAACACTTATTACATTCAAATACGACACCTTTTAATTTAATAAAATCACTTAAAAATGATTTTTGATTATTTCGCAGTTTTAATAATAACAATTATTAAAATCGCGTTATTAATAAAAAATAATATAACTTATCGTAGTACGCCCGTGGGAAACGTGACGTAGAATGCTCAAAATTGACAATCTGGCGTCCAAATTGTTATGCGCATCGACCGTTTTTTTCACCCATCTCAGCTTAGAAATTAGGAGTTTAATATCAAGGTCGGTGAGTAGAGCCTGTTTACTCCATGTTCCCCGATAAGAGTCGGTTTTTGGGTTCGTACTAAAGAAATGCGAAGCTATTCATATTTACCCATCATAGCAGTGCCGTAGTTGCATTGTAGACGTGGTTGTAAATGATGTAGGTTCATAGTAATAAATAATATATTACCAATGCCCCTAATATTTTATTTCATCCTAAATACTGTATTCAGATAATATTGGTAACGACGTGCTCAAAGAGCACGTCGCAATCTATTATACAGTATATCCCACATTATATAATAGATTGCGACGTGCTCGAAGAGCAACTCGTTAACAACAAAGTGTATTCAGATATTGTTGTTAAAGACGTGCTAGAAGAGTACGTCACAATCTATAATTCAGCTTATCCGACATTGTATAATAGATTGCGATGAGCTATTCGAGCACGTCGTTAACTAAAAATTGTATTCAGATAGTTGTTAACGACGATGTGGGACACATTGTATAATAGATTGCGACGTACTCTTTACCAACAATATCTGAATACACTATTTAGGATGGAATTAAAGTATTAGGGTAGGCCATTTTACTTATATTGTGTGTTCCATATTATATAATCGATTGCGACGTGCTCTTCAAGCACGTCGTTAACAACAAAGAGTATTCCGATAGTGTTGTTAACGACGTTCTCAAAGTGCATGGCGCAATCTATTATACAGTGTGTCCACATCATATAATAGATTGCGACGCTGTAGCTGCGGAAACGATGTTTCCTGAAAATCTGTTTCATAGATTCGATTGAATCCACAAGCTGGTGGATCAGACAATAACAAAGTGAAATAGAAAATGGTTGTTATAAATACTCCAGAGTGAGATGAAAAATAACCTGTCTTCGCCCATAGAGTCGCATCTTAAGCCTATTGACACGCATTCTACCCCATTCCAGTTCATTGGGTCCGAACCACCGACCTTGATATTAAACTGGATGGCTATATGACATAAACCCTACTTCTAATTTCTAAGCCGACATGGGTGGGAAAAATGGTCGGTGAGCATGACAATTTGGACGCCAGACCGTCAAGTTCAAGCATTCTACGTCACGTTTCCTACGGGCGTACTACGACAAATTATATTATTAAGCTATTGCATAGCTTTTATCGCGGGCTTTGAGCGTGGCGACCGAATCAAGAAAGTTCGTAATTCCGTAACGAAAATAAACCTAACACCCCCCCACTCCGACCGGCACAGCGGTGCGGCGTTTTGAAAGCCGTCGAAGGTTTATCCGACCCTATTCGTATTAGTATGAAGCGGAGTTAAATATATGTCTGCGGACTGATACGTTTATGCAATACAAGAACTAGAAGAGCTTTCTCTGGCTTCTAATAAATTGGTATCACAAATGTTCCCGGCTGGCGTAAATATTAGATATTAATTTTTTTGCAAGATTTATAATAGTATATTATGCAACGATCATGTAATGATGGTTATTAATATACGAGCATTAACTGGGATACGAAACGAGCCAACGGTGAGTTTCGTATGGTTTATGCGAGTGTTTTAATAACCATTACATGAGAGTTGCATACGCTATTTTTTGTACACCCGATAAATAATCAAGACCTTAAAATTATATATTTATTGTACACAATAACAGTAATTACTCATATTTCTATAAAAAATTCTACAAAATTGTAATTAATGGTATTACTTCGGGTATTGGTATTTCCCTAGATTTTTGCGGAAAAATATTTTGTACTGTATTTACTGCTTTCTCCGATATGTGTGGAGGAGTCTTCTATATCGCTGATATCAGACATTTTAATATTATAATTATCGAAGTTTAGCTATCTACGAAAATTTAATACGTTTTGACAACTAAAACAATTACAATAGGAACCTAGGACAAACGTCAAACAGCATGCTTGATTGAAAAATTGTAGGTTTCTATTGATTAAAAATCTGTATCGTAATGAAAAATCTGTATCATAATGGGTATCATTATGAAACGGATTATGGGCATATATAAGTGCATTATTATAATACGGGTGTAGAAAAAATATTAATTTTTATTTTATCAGTGTTTACTATTTCATTATTAAGCTATTGCACAGATTTTATCGCGAGCTTGAGCGTGTCGACCGAATCAAGAAATTCCGTAACGAAAATAAACCTAACCCCTCGAAAAATCGAAAACTCGAAAAACCGAAAAATCGAAAAATCGAAAAAATGAAACAATCAAAAAATCGAAAAATCGATCAAAAAATTGAAAAATCGAAAAATTCAAAATATCGAAAAATCAAAAAATTTAAAAATCGAAAAATTAAAAAAATCGAAAAATCGAAAAATCGAAAAATCGAAAAATCGAAAAATCAAAAAATCAAAAAATCGAAAAATCGAGAAATCGTAAAATCGAAAAAGAAATTCCGTAACGAAAATAAACCTAACACCCCCACTCCGACCGGCGCAGCACAATTCCGGAAATTTGAATTTGAAAATGAATAATGATCTACAAGAATCCACAACAAAACATGGGATCACCATTGACGCGATATTTTCCAGATATTTAGAGGATATCAAGTCTCAAACATGTTTCTTATTTCAGTTACCATAAACCTATAGTTTCAATGATAAAAATTCCTGAATAATCTACATGTATTGTAAGATAATAAAAATATTTTAAACAATATTAACTTCTCATTTATTCAATAAAAGAAAAAAAATTGTTTGCTTATCGGTCACCACGCTCAAAAAGTGTAACTTGAATTAATATCAAAGAAAAAAAAATACTGCATAAATAAAATAAATAAATAATTATAATTACATAAGTTGATAAAAAATGCTATGCAATAGCTTTACCGCGGCAGTCCCCGAGTGCCACCCGTATTTTTTTTTATTAATAACACGCCATTTTAATAATCATTATTGGAACATTTTTTCCAGCTGCGTATTAATCAAAAATCATTTTTAAGTGATTTTCTTAAATTAAAAGGTGTCATAGTTGAATGTAATAAGTGTTAAATTTAATTTTGATGATCCTTTTTAGTGCATTTCGATACGCACATGTGGGCGCCAAAGTGTCAAATATCACCTCGCTATGCGGCTTGATTTTGTTTATCGGCTTTTTTCTTCCAGTTTAATATATAGTTCAGTGATCTGAACCTATATAAAATGTTGAAGCAGTTGCTGATATATAATGGCTCTGTTTATGACTGTCCTCATATATTGACGGATATTTTACCTAACAAATTTTTTAGAGAATGTCAAAATAGCTTAAGCTCTAACGAATACCTTAATATGACTAAAACCTTTATATAGCATATTGATCGATTTTAAGCAGAAAAATTCGGTAGAATAAATAGACAGATGCCGCTCATTCTGAACAACTTTGCAATGTGACGTTATGTTGCTATAGGGACAAGTTGTCTGTGAATAGTATTATGGTTTACTATCGAAAAAAAATTTTTTTTATATTGATCCAAATTTAAAAAGTTTGTACCGTCTGTTGATCCGTATTCTCGAGCTCTATATATTCGACTAGTTTCATGATATACGAAGAGTAGTTGATTATTTCAGGAAATCAATCAATTAGGATTGAGATCATGATTGAAAATAAACTTTAAAAATCATGAGGTTTCCAAGGCCCACTAAAAGAGAAAAGTAAAATATAAGTTTTAACAAATCAATATGTATATTTATTTGTTTTAAAAAATATCTGGAAGACGTTGGAATTTTTCTAAAACAGTTCAGTCGAAGACTACCCTAATAAAAAAGAAAAAGTAAATTAAAACTATGTAAACGTTTACCATCTGTTAACTCAGGTTTCTATAAGATTTGATTATTTTGTTTAGGCAACAATGCTGAAGAAAAATAAGTTCAAGCGTCGACCTACCGAACCGAACATATTACCCGCCAATGGGGAGGGGGGAAAGAGCACAGACGAATAATCCCATTAAAATACTAACCCTTTTCATAAAACACAACATTATCTCACCTAACTAATCAGTTTTTTAAAGGTATTCATTCTGATATAATTTTTGCGGAATTATCATAAATCAAGAAATAAAGTCGATGACTTACCTATTTTTGTTGTGAACGTTTGATTTGAAATATTTGATTTTCTTTATGGCCCATGTAACGGCTAATTCAAATTTGACATGTATACTATCAAAAAGAGGTAAATAACATAACCTTTTAATTTAAAGTCTTCTCTTTTTTACCTTTACTGCTGAAGTATCGGCCAAGTTTATTGAAATTTATGTTATTTACTTATTTTTCACTCCTACGATTGGAGAAATATTATTTCTTTTCAAAACGTTGCAATACAAAAATAGCTAGTTTTCGATATTATATATATAATTCAATTCCACGAAATTTTTGTCATTGATGAATGTATTTATTATTGGATAAGTAACTCGATTGTTTTTCATTATTTCTATTTCTTCATATGAGCATGAGTAATTTTGCTTGATTTTTAGGATTTCTCAAATTGCTTTTTGATTTTCTTAAAGTAGGATTATATCATTTTAATGAGTATGCGTTTGTGTACACCCCCTCCTCAGGCCACCATGTTGAAGAAGATGAAGGGTAAAATGAAACGTCGCAATACCGAGCCGACAATGTTGGTGTCGCCCGGCGTTCAATTGGCACCGCTCCCATCCAACGACGGTGAATCCCCAACAGATCCAAACAACACCAATTTTTAGTTAAAAAAAAAAGTTAAAAGTTTTATTTAAGTTTGTGTTTAGACTTTAGCTCACATCTTGGGCGCTTTAATTTTAAGTTACTGACTCTGGTAAATGTATTAAAAAATAACAGTAAAATGTAATAATTATTACGTTAGAGTATGGTATTTTTACCAAAATACTGGTGAAAAAAAAAATGGTAAGGCAGTCGGCCCGTTACTTTTATTTAATTTTAAATAATTTGTTTCAGTACAAGTAATGTACTAATTAGTTTTGAATAATAATTTATAAAACAGAATATATAATGAAAAGTTGGTACATTTATATTACGGTACCGTAAATCAAATCGTGAGTCAATCTCACTCATTTATGAAAAAATTCCATCATAAATCATAAATAACACCGAAGGGAATTAACATCCTGTCCCTAGACGTATAAATTCGGTCATCAAAATTTCTGGATACCGCCTTTAAAGTTGAGATGGTAAGTGATTCGTGGTCAGAAAGCTCGAACTGCACTAGTGTAGAGAAGTGGTATAAAAAAGTGTGTTAAGTGTCAGATGTCTCAACTGCGAGGCGCATCTCAGAATTTGATGACCGAGAGTAGGTTATACAATCTTAGTGATCCCTACCCAAAGGTGTGTTGTCACGAATCGTGGCAGGTGTGTTGTTATAACCCGTTCCTATCACTATGCTGTTTCTGAACCATCTTTACCGCTATTTAACTCCAAAACGGAACGTTTTGAAGCTATATAGCTTGTTGAAGGTGTACCGGAAGTAGCAGATGATCGGAACGGGAGTTTACAGAAAGAAACGTTTGCCCTCACTAGCCAGGAAGTGACAGTGAACGTTATTGTTAATCTGCCTAAGTACTAAGGGCTCAATTCTTCATGGACGCTGCCTGGAGCCTAATCCATGAAGACAGTACTATAGGCAGATTTACATACCGATTTGACCCATAATTTTAGCTGATATCTTAATTTAATTGATGTGCTATATTGTTTGTAATTATATTTCCCAAGGTATGTAATTTAGATGAAATCGCCAAAGTCACTTGTGTGTGTTTCATCGATCAGAAACAATTTGATAATCTATTTTGCTTCTGCGTGATCGTGGAAAAACGTTTTCATGATCACGTAGAATTTCAGTATCTACTAATTGTGTATAGATTGTTGAAATGTTTCTTTGCATATGAAATATATGTATATGTGATTAAAATAGATATATGAAAAATTGTGAAATATAGAAATAATACATCTAAATGATTTTTCTTAGACCCTCCGATATTTTTATATTACTCATTTTTAACTCAATATGAGGAAGTTGTATGTACTTTAATTTGGTGGAGAGTAGAGGCACGAACAAATACCACGTCACTTGAGACTACACTAAATTAAAAATTTTTGAACTTGCCATCTTCCTAGCCACTGAACTTCATATTAATAATATGACTATAAAATATTTTCACACAGGTTGGAACAATAACAGATAAAGGTTTTATCATGACAGATGATAACGAAAATGTGAATTTTACAATGCTAAAGGTAAGCTATCGTGTATAGGAATTGCATAATAAAATATCCAAATGTTTGTCCTTGGGTATTTGATATTGTGATACAAAAATGTATAACGTTCCTTTCACACGTGCCGGAAACAGGATATACGATGTCAGATATTCGGGAATGTTGTGTTCAGACGTATCCGACATACCATTGAATCTTAAGAGTCGAGTTGGAAATATACTTTTAGTATGGAATTTATAAGTTCTTCAATGTCTATATTCACACGTGACATTTTCACTGCTGCACTTGTATTTTCCATGTCTCAAGAGTGACTGAACGACTTTTGTCTGCATATGCTTTGCATAGATCTCAATGTACTAGACGCCAGTATATCCGTTTCCCGGCATCGGATGAAGGTCGAGATATTGTCCGGTGTCTATCCGATATAGACAAAAACCATGTATGTGTGAACGCGTCAATATTCTGTACGTACTTTATGCCGGATATCAGGTCTCGTGTATACGGTATTCGGCAAGTGTGAAAGGAGCGAAAGTCTGTAACAAAATGAGACTCTCAAATCATGTAGCACATATGGTTTAGTAAATAAAACTGTATGTGCCGAAATTTTAAACGAGTTCATGTTGTTCAAGTATAATAACATTACGTAGCTTAAAACAAAGATGGTTGTAGCGGTATGACCGAAAAACAGGCCTCTATCGGTGTTTTATATCCAATAAACAAACTTGGACCGACATTCGGACTTTGGCAAATTATGAACGGTATTAAATAATGTTGGAAATACCTGTGCGATCCTTAGGTGTGCGAGAATGGTCTGAAAATTATATTACATGATGGCCGCCGGAGCGTTGCCTTTTTTAACACCGCAAAATGCTCTGTTGTGTGTGACTGTTTTTGATGATCTGCCTGGAGAGAAGTTGCTTAGCTAGCTTGAGAGGGACGCTTGAAGTTGACCAATTAGGAAGTATATAACGCCAGTGTCTCTAACCCATGAAGATAGTCGCCGCGTATGGATAACCAATGAGAAGTGGACAAGAAGTGAATGATGCCTGTGACGTAGTTATTAGTTGGAAGATCGTTTTTATCGGCCAAGGCAGTGCCTCTTACAGAAACGTCTCCAGGAGTATTAAAAGAATTAGGAATGAAAGCTTAGTGCATATTTGATGCAATACTGAGCACAACGACGAATTCATCTTGTTGAATATAACGATGATCATGTAAAATAATCTGGAATGTTTTCGAGAAGTTGTACAGAATAGTAATAGGCCTATAATTGCATATTTCGCTACAGCTGTCTTTCTAAAAACAGGACATATTCAAGGAAGCTTGAAGATAGAATAGAATTGTATTAACTGTTATTACAATAAATGGTTAACAGCAAGTCACAACGGAATATAACATAGGTTAATCTGAATTAAATAAAATATGTAATCCAAATGACTAAAACAGCACCTTATAAAAGGTGTCCCAACAAGAACTTGAATTTTTAATGACAAAGAAAACACAGTAATTAAAAAAAAATATGCAAAGATTTTATTGGATTTTCAAGAGAAAATGTTGACAATAAACATGAAACAAAATAGCTCTCAAATGGCTCTGTTGACAGGTATATATTCGTATGACGAAATTTTGGCAGACGTTTTCGAGCAAAATCGACTGCATTTCACGAATGTTTCGTTCGATTTCTTCCTTCAGTTATCGAATCGTCTCAGGATGGTTCCAATACACTCTACTGTTTAAATACTCCCAGAGAAAATAGTCTAAGGGCTTCAATTCTCAACCTCTCGGCGGCTAGTTTTGGTCTCCAAATCGAGAGATGACACGACCTGGGAACTTTGTAGTAATCCCATTGTTTCGCGTGCGGACTGGCAGGTCGCGTCCTCCTGTTGAAACCACAAGTTATTTATGTCCATTCCATTCACATCCAGCCAAAGAAAGTCTCTCAGCATGCTACGGTAGCGATCACCATTTACAGTCACCGAGACACTTTCATTATTTTGAAAAAAATAAGGTCCGATGATCCCTCCTGCACAAATGGCGCACCATACTGTCATTTTTTCAGGATGCATTGGAAGCTCGTGCACGGCATGTGGTTGCTCTTTCCCCCAAATCCGACAGTTCTGTTTATTCACAAAGCCGTTCAAATGGAAGTGCGTCTCATCAATAAAGATAATGTTGTGGAATGCATCGTCAACTCCGTGTTGTTCCAATATCCAATTCGCAAAGTTTCTGCGCTGTCTATTCGCTGTGTGCAAGACTGGTAGCGCATACTTGCTATCCACCTAACACTCAACAGTTGAACTTGAAAATTCTTTTTCAACAATTAAGAGTTGCAACAAGTTTTGTGTTCGCAGTTAGTTGATAGACTAACAAAAAATGTTTCTGTCGCACAAAAAGTAAGTAAATGACAAAAATATTTGGAGGTTATGCATACGAAGTATCTGCGTTTTGAATGTCATAAATCAATGTAATTTGTCTGTATTTTTAGATGCTACATTTTTGTCATGAGTGTCATCTTGTACACTGGATTTGAGAAAATATCTCACGACATAAACTTTCAGCCTGAAACGCCAAGAAAAGGTAAAGATTTGGTAGAAGCTGGGCATGTCATAAATCTCGAAGAGCACAGAGAGTCAGGTGTTGGCCTTTTTATCCGAGCTGGTGTCATTAGACAAACGTCTGTCACGAAAAAAGAATATCTTGTAGAATTGCATGTAAGATAAAAATTGTGTTGAAATCCATT